TCCGACTCCCCATGTGCTGCCCGTGTGCAAGGGCACAGGGAGCAGGGAGGGAGCACGGCCCGAGCACCAGACCCAAACTGGCCAGTGAAATATTCCATATCATGGCACGTCATGGTCACTATGTAGAGGAGGGGGGGTGGGGAAGGGGCTTGCTCGCTCTCTCTTTCACTTCCAGGATTGCAATTGCGGGATCTTGGTATTTCGGGATCGCTGGCCGGGAACGGGCTGGGGATTGGTCAGCGGGTGGGGAGCAATTACATTGTGCATTGCCCGTTTATATTTTCTATTGCTGCCATTGTTCTCATTTTATTCCCATTATTAAACTGTCCTTATTTCAACCTGCGGGTCTCCCTTTACCCCTCCAATTCCCTCCCTCATTCCCAGGTGTCGGGGGTGGAAGGGTGGGTGAGCGGCTGCGGGGTGGTTGGCTGCCGACCAGGCTCAAACCACAACACATTTCCACTGGAAAGGATGGAGATTTAGCAGTAACCAGTAAGCCACTCACCCAGCAGTTTTTAGGACTGGGTTTTATGGCATTCAAATGGAAAGAAAAGATGTGATGGAATGGTAGTCCCTGTGCAGCCCTGGCTGCTGCTGCTTCACGAGGCAGGCAGAAGACGACAGAAGGTCATCAGAACCCTTCTTCAAGCGCTACATAAAATGCATTAAACACACGTGGAAGTTTGTATTCATAAAAATGTAAACGTTACAAAGGCATGGCTATAGATCAGATTTATGTCACACTATATGACTCTATTCATCCCTCAAACTTGTTAAGAACCTGGAAGCCATGGTCACGTCCTTCTTGATGAAATCATAATTACTAATTATCTGGTAAGTTACTTTACTGATTATACCTTTTTAGGTGTTGATAACAGAAACATTGACTGGTTTGAATGAAAATGCACGTCTTTGTAAGCACCAGCAGAAGCAGCAGAACAACTAAGCAAAAAGGACAGTCTGTACATCACAGGCACTGTCCCCAGAATATCATTCCCTAGCAGTGAAACTGGAGAACATTATGTTTATATCAAGATCAAAAGGCCTGCACTCTGATAAATCAAACCACAGCAGAAATGACTTATCAGACCTGCATCCTAACATCAAAAGGATGGTGACAAGGTTGCAGCACAGTACATACACCCTTCCCCTAACCCAAGAGGGGAAGAGACCACATATATTTTAAGCAGACATTTAAATGAAAAACATACAAGACACAGCAACGTGGCCTAAAATCTATGGAGGCTAATGACAGAGATGTTCTGAGGCATGGAAAAACCCCAGAACAATCACTGATTTCTAAAAGGCCTGAAAAATCTGTCCAAAAACTAGCTCATCATCATCATTAAAGAACCCCAGATACGTAAACAGGACTGGATAGCAGTGTCCTTTTTTTCTTTGAGTCCAGACAACTTGGGCATGTCTTGGTACCTGTGAGTACGAGTGAATTAAAGTTAGGAGAAAATGAAAGTATGTAAAAATCAGCTGGCTTAATGACTTTGTAAACAAATAAATATCCCCTTCCCCTTCCAGAAGACCTAGCACTGAACTTTATTACTCTAATTTCCTAACACCAGCAGCTGAGATATAAGCTTCATATTTGTGAATTCTATCCAGTTCATATAAAGTTCTGACAGACAATATGACATTTAGATTCTGCAAAATCTGAGATTCAAAAACATGTTGTGAGACTTCGCCATGTGCTAAAAAGTTACTTACATGGCAGCATAAATCACTGCATGCATCTTTGGAGCAAAGAGAAAAAAGGAAGGAAAGATTGCTAAACCAGGGTTTTTCAAAGACACGTTAGTTGCTCACACTAACACTTAATTCTTGGGATTGCATGCCAAATAAAGTGGACGCACTCCTGGGTTTTTTTGGTTAAAAACAGAAAATGAGGATGTGCCTAGGCTCCTTCTGCAAATATCTCTGAGCAGGTATCAAAATACTGTTGTCAAGGTAGAAGGTATGAATTTTCCACAAAATTCTTGTTGCAAGTCGAGATACATACAGCTTACAGTCCTATGGGGCCACACCAAAGCCACAGAAAATGTTTGCGGTTTCTATTTTCTTTCACAAATCTGTCTTGCAATAAGAATTGTCTTTAAGAATTCAAGTTTACCTATCAGCCTGTCAGAACAAAGTTAAACAGAAAAACAACATGGAAGTGTAACTTTTTTCTTCTATTCAAATAATAGAGGGGGTTTTTTGAAAAAAAAAAAAAAAAAAAAAAAAAGGTAAAGATAAAATTTAACTACTGAGAAAATGTGATCTAAATTAATTCTTCCTTTATATATTTTGTTTAATACTCTCTGGATAATCACCTGGTAGTAGTAACATTAACTAGTCTGACTGCTATGTGCACATTACTGACATTTTTATTGCTTTGAATAAAGGTACCCACCACTAGAATATATGTACCACCAGAATGATGGGTATGGAAATAGAAAATAAACCCACCACTAGGAATGATGCTATATTACATCTGAATCCCATATTTCCTCAACGGCGTATTTATGTATGTATTTATGTAGAATTATTTTACCTATTTCACACCCATCATGACTTAGCTTGAACACTGTACAGGTTAACAGAAAATCTAACTAGAATTGAGCCAAAGAAGTCTGAGGAGGGAAAAAACAATGTCAAAAGGAAAAAAAAAAAAAAAAAAACAACAAAAACAAACAACCCAAAAACAAATCACAGAAAGGTCAGAGTCAAGAGTTACATGTATCTAGGCAAATAAAGAATTCTGAAATAATTCTCAGAAACTACCTGGAGAAAGTACTTTGAACAATATAAGATACATCAAACTAAAGGTCACAGCAAAGATGAAAAGGGTAGCTTTCCCAGGAGCTGAAAGAAGAAAAGTTTTGCCTTGGAACTCTCTCCATTGTCTCAGTCTTTCCAGGACTAAATTACATAAGAAGCCAAACACAATGTTCTTTGAAATTACCTTCTGAGGAGGACATAAAAGCCTTGCCTGCCCTTAATACCAACAATGTGATTCGAGTCAGGAACAGTGTCGTGGGCTCTGACATGAGTCCTCTAGTGAACTGAGATACGGTGCGTGAAGGCATCACCCCTAGTTCACTGAATTCTGTGATACGGATACAATCTCTGCAGGAGAATCAGGAGAAAAATTCCTGTCTAAGCCTCAGCTGTTCCAGCTTGTATGTCCAGTGTTCTGGTGCATGTGTACCTTTACTGTAAGTTCTTAAATCTCTGCAAATAAATTCACTGAAGAGTGATCTGTCAGGGACACAGACAGTTTCTCACCGTTCCATACTGATTTGTGGTAGGTAAAACAGAATTATGAATTCCTGCTATCTTGTCCCCATAAAACTTCTCAAGATATGTTTACAAATGCTTGTTGCATTTGGGGAAATCTTAAAAACACCAGCAGAACATCTCTATCTGCATTTGTAAGCTTATTTGCTCAAAAAAAAACCCCAACCAACCAACCACCAAATTCCAGGAAACGAATGTGTATGATGAACAGCACAGAAAAATAAAGGCTCTATGAGGTTATATTTCTTTTTATCCTAAGAAGTTAAGTCTCAGTCTGTAATCCCAAACTTTAGTGCTAAGTGTATTATCTTTCAAAATTCATTTAAATAGCATGTTTGAGCTCCATCAAACTTCTGCAAAGTTAAAATTTTCATTGTATGTTTATTCTCAGTGACCAGGATTATTTTCTTCATAAAAGCTGCTAATAATTCTGAGCACTGTTATTACAACTGACAAAAAGCCCCTGAAGAATCCTGGTGATATGCCACATTAGACTACTTTTGACAAAAGTAGCAGGAGTAATTGGTTAGAAATAGAAAAAAAAATCTAGAAAAAATGCAGAACAACAATGTAAAATTGTCATTTGAACAAATAATAGGTGAATATTAGTATTTCCTCACTTCCTTTTTTCGGAATGCATCATTAATCCTAAATTTGTCTGAAGAATTTCTCTCATTAATCCATGTATCCATTTCAGAAGGTGTCACTATTCACTCACAAATATTAGATGCTTTGGAGAGAATTTTGGCCTTAGGAATGGGATTAGAAAACTCTTCCCAGCCGCTGCAGTGACAGCTGCATTCATTTCCCTCATATACCAGACTCAAAGTCAGAAGCAAATTCTCAGTTTGGAAGCCAGAGCATGTTCTGCTGGATATTTACAGCCAACCACTGAAATCCCCCAAACCTGTCAGTGATGTCAAGAAGGATAGAAATAGATCATCTTGCTTGTTTTTCCTAAATAAGCTTGCATTCATAAAAGAAACAGGAACAGAAACCTTGAAGAAAAGGATTCTCTTTTACCACTATGAGAGCACTAAACTACTCGAGTTTTTTTGAAAGAACCACTTCAAGAAAAGGCATCATGTTTGTGTCTTTGTGTTTCATCTCTCTACTTACATTGCCAGCAACAAAACCTATTTTTTTCTTTTCATTCCAAAGCCTTTTTTGGTTTGTTTTTAAAATGAGAGACACGGTGATACCCGCAGGATCTATAAGGAGGTTCACTGTGCCATTTCACGTGCCACTAAGAAGAAGAATGTTGTTTGTAAATGTCAGTCCCTAACACCAGGTGAAGGAGCTCAAATTTAATCACCACAAACATGCATTACTTCTATGTTACCTTACCACGATCCAATTACCAGATAGTTTGCAGAACAAAACCAGGAACAAAATCAAAATGAGGGAACTACATCCAGCCTATTTCTTTATTACTGAGGATTTTATTGACTGATAAAAGTAAGGATAGGCATCAGATCTGGTAGGAAGCTGCTTTCAGAGAGTACCATAAAACCCAAGCTGCATGACTTCAGAGAGAGCAGCAAGCAAAAATTGGCTTCAGGAGATCTCAAATTTAAGTAATCCTTCTACATTGCATGTTTTCAAGCAATGATGCTTGTACCCTACAGAACAATTTTTCTGATCTCCAACTCAGCAACAAAGTAAGTAGTATAGCTTTAATTAGGAATGAATAAAACAAGAATACTTACGCTGACCCCATCGGCCTGTTCTTGGATTCAAATAATTTGGATAAAGTCCATTCGGACGATCCATTTTTTGAAGTAACTTCCGAATGTGCATGACCTAAATTAAATCAAGAATCAGGATCACCACTAACAATGTTCATCTTCTCTCTGCACATAGTTAAATCTAATCTTTTTTCTTTTCCTTTTGTTTTTAGTAGTAAACTTTTTCAATCTGAACCCAGAAGCGTTCTTGAGGACTTCCTGAAGATTAGTATGTTTTTGTTTTTAAGACTGCTCACATAAACATGTTTAAAAATTATTATTTTAAAATGTATGCTGAAACAAATAAGAAAAATTGTGTTGTCAAGTTTCTACTTGAAAGAGTCACCTATTTGGTGACAGAAATACAAATATGAAAAATGTACCTTTTACCAAGAATTCAAATATAATTCAATATAGAAAGTACTAGAGAAAGTACTTCCCTTTAAGTGCAGTTTATGATGAAACAGTATAAAAGACATTTGTATGATAAAAAAACCCCAGAATTTGAGACCCACCTTGTTGTAGTATACAGGGTCCCCTGTCAAATAGCTGAGGTGGACAAATTCCATGTGCAGAGTACCAAACTCAGCAAGGATGCTGCTGCCGGCAGAAGCCCAGCCCCAGTTTCGACCCACACCACTGAATTCCAACAAATACGCATAAAAAAGGTAGAAAACAACAAAAAATTCAGAATTACTGTGCACAGCACTAGTAACAACCACCACAGCAAATTAAACAAGTAACAGCAAATATTAACCTAGACTTAAGATTACAGGCGTTGTGGTTTGATTGATCCGTTAGGTTATTGGTTGGGTCTTTTGGGAAAAAAGATACCATAACCTCATCAACAGAAAGTCCTGCAATTAAAGGATATAATATCTTGATGTCACAGAAATATAATGACTTAACACTGGGCCCAATCTCGATCGTTGTTTATTCACTGTATGTTCCTAGGAACAAGAATCAAAAGCAATGATCAGACAAGATGAGTATACTTCCAAAGGTGGCAGCAGTCACTTCCTTGCTCTGCCCAACATCTGCTCTGTTTCCTTGCGTGGGATGTGCTTCAGGTCAGTATTAGACACTCCAGGAGGAGTGGGACCTATCCGTACCTACATACCAAATCAGTATGCTTACTATAGGCAGAATATTTTGAGTTCCTCAGGATCACACAGAGAATCAACAGAACGTATCATATACCTTGTATCTTTTGTACTCTAAGAAATACCATCGTGCTCAGTCATAACTCCTAAATAACCTCTGTTTTAAACTCATTTGGGAGTTTTCACCACCTTTCAAGATCGGGACTTTTACTTTCTGAAGTTAACTATGTTTTCCTGGAGATTACTTCTACTTCCTCTCATAAAAGATTTCAGTTGTCAGTAGGACTACAATCAAGAAGGAATGACTTCTTACTTATTTTTTGAATTACAAATCAGAAAGAGAAAAAGTAAAGGAAAAATTTTGGTTATGAAGCAATATTTATAGCTCTGACCTGAGACAGAACAACACTTTTAAAATAGAGTAAGCATAGTTTAGAGTTTGGAGAGACAAAAATCGTAGTTTGTCTCAAGGTTTTTTTGGCACAGCTCTCACAAAAAGAGAGAATAATTTTCCAAATTTTTCTTTTTTTTCTTTTTTTTTTTTTTTCCAGGTCATGTCTTTTACTGCGTGTCAGCCTCCTAAGTGTTCTCCTATATGCCTGCTGCTGTCACTACCCTCTGGCATGCCAGCCACTATCTTCTGCTGTGATGCTGACCGGTTCTGTACCTTACCAAGAAACTGACACGGTAAATGCATAAACAATATTGGCATGCAGGGAATTTCTGGCACTCCAATCCTTTTCCCTCTGCCTAGTGCAAAGCCTCCTCCCTGGTCCTGCCTTTCTGACTGTGCTCTGATACCTGACCTATGCAACTGGCTGCTGCGCTTTGCCGGTAACTATCCGTGCATCTACTTCTCGCAGTTTATTAAACCTTGCCATCGATGTTGCTCGAGCCAGTGAACCATCCGCCTGCACTGCCTGACCAGTATGGCCAGCTGGGCCCCTCAGACGTACTGGAATCATGGTGCAGGCTTAGGTTAAAGAAAGCAAAAATAAAAAACATGCGCACGCGGGAATTTCAAGCCCTGTGAAATTGCAGAAAGAACACAAGACTGACTAAACCATAATGCCATGCAGGAAGCACGTAAGGAAATTTAACCCAACAATATCCGTTGTACAAAGGCCCAATAAATGGCCTCAGGGGGGAAGGGCTGCACAGGCAAGGCAGAGAAAACCAGGCAATGGTGGTGAGGCCCTGCACCAACAGAAGGGCAAACCACAGCTCCATGGTCTTCACCCGAGGAGTGACAGCAAAGAGGATTGCTTCCTGGTCGCAAAAAGGCACATAAGGCTAATGCCCTCAGAGTAGTTCTAAACCTCTTCACGGTCTAAGAAAACACAACAAATGTCTCCTAAAAGGAAAACAACTTAAAAGAATTCCAAAACTCTGCTAGTTACTATCTTGAATTGCTGAAATGTACACAATCTAGACATGCATCCTAATTCAGCAACTGCTTAATAACACAATAAAAATTTTAGAGATGCCTTGCATCAAAAATGCTCTCAAAATCTAAGGAAAATCCCAGCACAGAACAAGTAATACTAGATAAATTAGGCAAGGCAATTCTCTTACACAAGGCAATGCAGACCACCTAAGTTCAGTGTCTGACCTGAACAGCCACCTAAAGGAGCCTCTCCATCTCCACAGACCATAGTGGACTTCAGCACATTAGCCTTTATACCTAAGCTGAACTGTAGCATTAATTAATATCTTCAGAGTACCATCATCTTCTCAAACATTGTGAGTCTTCTAAAGGTAACATACAGCTCACACAGCACATAAAACCCAGGAAGTTCAACCACGGCCTGCAAACAATTTTGTTTTTTAATAGGTTCTTTAATGACTAAAGAACCAATCATTAAGCTGTAGGGCAACACATGGCATAATACACTGGATATGTTCCAATGGCATGTTGAATTCTTATTGCAGCATCAGGAGAAAAAAAGCATGGTCACAATTTATTGCAGTTAATGAGGTAGAATGCTCTGAACTCCATTAAAAGTATTCTAAAGTGGCAGGAATGCCAATTTGTTTGCCTCTTCTACAGTTCCACTACTAAGAAAAACTGACATATGCCACTACTAATTTTAAGTTGTAGGGATGGGGAGGAACATGCTTCCCCACAAAAGAAAATTCATTACCTTTTCAGATTCACCATTGCCCATGGTATACCTGTAGGTGTGTTGAAGGCTGGAAGAAGTTTTCCTGCCAGTTGCACTGCTTTGATCTTGAAAACCTAAGATAGCAGGATCAATTGCAAACAGTTACAAAGTCTGATTTATCTCCGAGAACTATAAAGACTGAAATTTCCTTGCCCCACCCACTTCTTTGTATTATAAAAGCTTTACATTGTAAAAAATACATTAACTTATCATTTATTTTTCACTTGTTCACTTTATAAATTTCATTAACATTTGAACATGAAAAGAAAACTTGTCATTTTCATTTCTTTCCTTCCATGCTCTCCAGCAATAGTGCATAGGTTCCTATTAAAGAAAAATATCATTTCTCCTCCCACCTTCCTCCACCAGTATTAGGAATTTCAAATGCTTTCTAAAGCAGTCTTGAAATCATACTTAGTATTTTGTAGCTAAAAATCATGTGGTATTTCCCCCACCCCCACACAAGTATTTCAACTTTTACAAACTTCCAATCTCTTTCTAACGAGATATATATACACACAGTGCAGACAGAGTTCCTAGTCTTTTATGAAAATTGTCTATGCAAAACCATATATATATGCAGTTTCCTGTAGCTTTTTTCTTCATTGATAACGCATAAAAAACAATAATTATAGGCTTAATCTTCCCTCTCAAGTCTGATTCCTCATAGAAATTACTGACAGGACAAAATCTCTTTCATTTCTAGTGTTGCTTCTACTTACTTCTGGAACATAAATCTGTAGCAGCCTTACTCAAAGCCTAATGTTTTTAGTTAAACAAGCAACTGGGAAAAAGTTCCTTCTAAGCCTATAGGAAGCACTTTTTACAAAGAAGGCGTGTTTGGTATATCCCCCATGATAGCAGACTGTTTTTACCCGCTAGTTGTAACATACATTTTAATTAACGCAGTCAGTATTCACATTTCTGCCAAAGTATCTTCTTATCTTGGGGATAACATTATTCATCAGTTTGAAGCACTGTATGAACATGTAACAGAAAGAGCTACCATGCCCCAGAATAACGTATGCAACACAGACGTGCTATAGAAACATCATCTCTCTGGTCACCAGCAACAGGACACGAAGAAATAGAATGAAGCTGCCCCAAGGGGAAGTTCAGTTTGGACACTAGGGATAGGTTCTTCACTGAGAGCTTGGCTGGTCACTGGAACAGGCTCCCCAGGGAAGTGGTCACAGCACCAAGGATGCTGCAGTTCAAGAAGCGTCTGGACGATGCTCTTAGCCATAAGGTTTAGTTTTAAGCAGTCCTGCGAGGAGCAGGGAGTTGGACTCAGTGATCCTTTTGGGTCCCTTCCAACTTGAGATATTCTATGATTCTATTATTATCAACTACCTGATCAATACTCTGTAATTGAGAACATAAAGAGCTTTTAAGAAGGACTACAAGGCAGCTCTGTTGCATTTATAAAAAGGATTTTTCCCTTCTGTAAAGTCTACAGGAAGAAAACAGAAGAGATGCTCACTGGAGAAGTAAGTTGAAAAGTAGTAAAAAATAAGCAGTCAAGAACATCCTCATTTCTCATATGAAGGTGGGAAAAGATCAATATCTTAATATTCGAGGAGATGACTAGTGAGACATGAAATAAACCAGAAAAGAATTTTAAAGATGACATCTAATTGTATTTGATGCAGTGGAGTATGGAGAGATGGAGGTGCATCTGAAAGCAACGAGCCAAGAAAAAGAACTTTTACAGAGGTACTCTACATGAATTGTAAGGTGGGATACGTCTAAAGTGAAAAAGAAGATACCTCAGAATATGACTTAGAAATGTGAAGTAACAGAAGCAATATGGCCTGAATGCTTTTTAACAAAGATACTGACAAGGCACAGTCTTTGAGAAAATATGCAGAAATTTAGCAGTAAAATTCAGATAACACTCTGACCTTGAATAAAGGAGTAAGTCAAAATATAAAGGCATAGTATAAGAGGTATAATACATGTGGAGTCTATTGTAACTGGGGAAAAAGAAACCCTGAAGAGAACTAAAAGCTCTATCTTGGCCCAGTTACATATAAACTACCCAATTTACATCTATAAATATCTGTCAAAAATGCACACTGAGCTTTTGGATTTTTAAGTAATAGATGGGTCAAGACCAGGCACAGCTATCTAAAGGCAGTCAGGGCAGACAAGCTTCAACACCTAATCCAGAACAGAACGAGGACTTCCAGGTAAATGGTACGTAGTTTGGAAAGACACTTGTGGCATGGATTTGTTTAGTTCATCTTTTGGATCCTGCACCCTCTGAAGGCACTATGCATTATTGTATTATTCATTAATAAAAGATATTGAAACATTAGGGTAAGAATATTCAAGAGGGAGAACAAGCCTAGAAACATCCTCATTAGAAGAGTATTCTTAATAGCTATTTATGTACCGCTATCCAGCTTTCAATCAATTTGAAATGTACTACAATATTTGGAGAACACAAGCTAGAGGATTAGAAGCAGTTTTTAGTAAGCATGTATGAAATAAAGGTTGAGCTAATCTAAATGTGCATGAATCTAGACAAGGACAGTTAAAGCAAAGCAATCACTGTGCCAGCAATTCCAGCATGTGAGCAAACCAGCACGGCAGCAGTAACTGCTAGTTCAGGCAACCGTGTTAGGAGTACCTGCAAAAACTTGCTGTTATTAGAGGCATCCTCCTGTCACCTCTGTTGTGCTGAGGACTCTACATACAACTGATTTCGCATTAGAAGGTAAAACTCTACCTCTCTCTATCCCTCTTATCCAAGAAAATGCAAGGAAACCCTTAGCTTATGACATGCCTTTACTCTCTATTACTGCCATCTCAGTCCTACTCACTGCTGGCTCTGGGTAACAGAAACACCTAGTGCACGATACAGTGCCTACCTATGCAAACCGGAGTGAGAATTGGAAGAGGAGACTGCTGCGCAGGTTTCTATCAGGGCAAAGTGACTAGGAGAGGATATTAGGAGAGATGTAGGGAAAACAGAGAAATGTAGCAAGCAGTGGTGGATGAGATGCCTCTTATGGGAGACTGCAGATGTGACCAGAGCACGCTGCTGAGCACACTGAAGGGACTTCCTTGGGTAAGTTTCAGACTTACCATAAGAGTAACAGTAAATACCTCAGGCTCTAGCTTTTAAATAATGTGCTGGCATCAGACACGGTTACTTATCATATAGTAAGTATTTTTACTTTTTTTTTTTTTTTTTTTAAAAGCAGGTTGAACTGATAGATCCTATTTCAGCCTTGGCAGTTCTCTGTTGGCAGGCAATGTATTTCAAGAAACACATAGGCAAGACGAACAAAAAATGAACGGATGCCTTGGAAAACAGACCTCATTCGGAAACAGTAAAAGAACTGGGCTTATTTAGTCCAAAGAAAAGATGTTCAAGAGAGGTCAAGATAATGACTTTTCAGTATATAAAAGGCTAATATAAGGAAAACAAAATATTTTTTCCCATGGACATGGAGAATACATAATAACACCAAAACAGAGCAAGAGAAAGTAAGCTAATTAGGAAAAGTTGGTGATAAGGACAATTAATCATGAAGAACGACTGTGCTATGGCTTTTAAAAATGCATTGTACAACACATGCAACTACGAAGACTGATGTGACTGGACACGGACCTGCTTGAGCGGATCCAGAGGAGGCCACGAAGATGCTCGGGGGGCTGGAGCACCTTCCTTGTGAGGCCAGGCTGAGAGAGTTGGGGGAGTTCAACCTAGAGAAGAGAAGCCTCCAAGGAGATCTTACAGCAGCCTTCCAGTACTTAACAGAGGCCTGCAGGAAAGATGGGGAGGGACTCTTCATCAGGGAGAGTAGCGATAGGACACATGGTTTTAAACTGCAAGAGGGTAGATGTAGATTAGACAGAAGGAGGAAATTCTTTCCTGTGAGGGTGGTGAGACACTGGAGCAGGTTGCTCAGACAACTTGTGGATGCCCTGTCTCTGGAAATGTTCAAGGCCAGGTTGGACCTGATCTAATGGAAGGTGTTCCTGCAAACTATTCCACGGTTCTATGAAGAACTGCAGCCCATGGGAAGGACTCATGTGGGAGAAATTAATGCAGAACTGTCTCCTGTGGGAGGGACTCCATGCTGGAGCAGGAGAACAGTGTGAGGAGTCCTCCTCATGAGGAGGAAGGAGCAGCAGAGATGTGATGAACCGACCACAATCCCTATTTCCCATCTCCCTGAGCTGCTGCAGGGAAGGAGTTAGAAAAAATCAGGAGTAAAGTTAAGCCCAGGAAGAAGAAAGGGTTGAAGGGAAAGTGTTTTAAGATTTAGTTTTATTTTCTCATTACCCTACTCTGATTTGATTGATAATAAACTAAATTAACTTCCCTAAGTTGAGTCTGTTTTGCCTGCGATGGTAACTGGTGAGTGATCACTCCCTGTCCTATCTCAATCCATAAGCCTTTCATTATAAATTTTGTTTTCCTCTCCCCTGTCCAGCTGAGGAGGGTAAGTGATAGAACAGCTTTGGTGGGCACCTGGTTTCCAGCAAGGGTCAACCCACCACAACTGCCAATTAATCAAATGGCCTGTGCACATTCCATATCAGTAAGAGGAAAGCGTTTTGTCTCTCTCAGAGCCTTGTACCTATTCTGTAGACCTAGACAGCATCTTTGTAACTGGCACATAAACTATTAAGACCACCCACCCTCGAGTTTCTTCACTAGCACAAGCTCCAAAGCATAGGACCCTATAAGAGAGATGGAGTCACAGAAATCAGAAAGACAACAGCTCTCAAAGTGCTGTTCCTGCAGGATAACTCAATCTTTTTTCAAACGTGTAGTTGCACTTGCATTAATTACAGAATTGAGCACAGAGTGGCCTTAAGATGTGGAGGTAACTAATCACAGTCTTCTTAAAGACCCCATAATAGCTCTAGCAAGACATCCTATTTTGAAGACACAAAAATACTGTTCTAAATAAACATGTATTAATCTGAGAGTACCTGTTCCGTCCATTCTCAAAATATGGACTCTTTTTTTCAGAAAAGTTTCAGAAGCCACTTGGAGAAGTATTTCCATTTTACACAGCAAAATCTAATACACTAAATCCATCAATTTACA